TTTACTAAACTGACGAGAAAGAGCATTAAGTATGAATGGTAAGAGGATCATATTAAAGCCTTACAGCTGTTAAAAGATCGACTATACAGTGCTCCAATATTATCAYTACCAGATGGGTCGGAGATTTTGTGGTTTACAGTGATGTTTCCAAGTTGGGTCTGGGATGTGTATTGGTGCAGTAGGGAAAATTTATCGCATATGCTTCCAGACAATTGATAGATCATGAAAAATAGTATCCTACACACGATATGGAGCTTGCCGYTGTCGTTTTTTCTTTAAAGATTTGGAGATATTATTTATTGGAGACTGAATATCAGATTTACACTATTCATAAGAGTGTTGAACATTTTCTCAACCAGAAGGAATTGAATATGCGGCAAAGACGATGAATTGAACTAGYGAATGATATTAATTGTGAAATTCTTTWTCACCTGGGGGAGGTAAATGTAGTGGCCGACGCACTTAGTAGAAAAAAAAGTGGAACGATTACAGCCACTACGTTAAGAGCAAACTTAATCCCTAACACTTACACTCTTAACAAGATCTTTAGATGTCAAAGTGAAACAATTAAAGAAGAGAATGTTAAAGTTGAGAGAGTTGGTGGAATACTAGCATCCTTGACGAAGAACGATAGAGGAATTCTATGTTTCCAAGATAGAATATGGGTACCACATTTTGGGAATAACCACGAGCTAATTCTAGCCAAAAGTCACAGATTTCGATATTCAATTCATCTAGGTACCAATATAATGTATAAAGATTTAAAACCATTCTATTGGTGGCCAGGGTTGAAGAAAGATATTGTAAAATACGTGGAGCAATGTTTGATATGTCTACAAGTAAAGATTGAGCATCAACGTCCATWTAGGAATCTCCAGTCCTTGCAAATTCCTATGTGGAATGGAATAATATCAYGATGGATTTCATCATGAAACTGCCGCGAACTMCAAAGGGATATGATGCCATTTGGGTWATTGTAGATCGTCTAACGAAATCTGCGTACTTTCTACCAATTAAAGAGAAYTATTCTTTTAAAAAGGATTGCAAAGATCTACATTGAGGAAATAATGACTCGTCATGGTGTTCTCTTATCAATCATTTTAAATAGGGATAACCGGTTTACCTCAAAGTTTTGGGAAAGCTTTCAAAAGGCCATGGGATCTCAAATTCAATTGAGTATGGCGTATCACCCTCAGACAGACGGGAAGAGTGAAAGAACAACTCARACCCTCGAAGASATATTGAGAGCTTGTATCATTAACTTTGAGKGATCATGGGAGAATCATTTGCCTTTGATTGAATTTCCTTACAATAACAATTATTATTCCAACATCCAAGCGGCGCCGTATAAGGTTTAGTATGACAGAATGTGTAAATGTCTTTGTGTTCGAATGAGGTAGGGGAAAAAAACAGTTGGTTGGTCCGGAGATTGTTCAGATAACAACTGAAAAGATAGATCAAATTCGAGAAAGAATAAAGACAACTCAGGACCGACAAAAGAGCTATGCCGACAGACAYCGAAAACCGATTGAGTTTTTGGTAAGAGATTTCATGATGTTGAAAGTTTCTCCCTGGAAAGGTATTATAGATTTGGGAAAAAAAAGGTAAAGTCAGTCCAAGGTATATTGGGTCGTCCAGAATTTGTAAAAGGGTTGGTACAATAGTGTTTAGTTGCTTGAAGAATTCGACATTATTCACAACACTTTCCATGTTTCAAACTTACGAAAGTATTTGGCTGATCCAAAGATACGGTCATATCACTACCTGAGGTTTAGATTGATAACAAGTTGAACTTCGTGGAAACCCAGAGGCCGTCACTGACTGGAAGACAAAGGTATTCAAGAATAAAGAAACCAGTTTGGTGAAAGTCCGATGGCGTTTTCATAAGGGTCAAGAAGCTACTTGGGAACTAGAGTCTGAAATGAGAGCTAAATATCSTCACTTGTTTAATTGAATGAATTCTGGGATGRAATTCTTTTAAGGAGAGGATAATGTGATAACYGGGTTATCGATTATAAAGTTTAGGGTTGCTTTTGATTAAAGGCATAAAKTTGAGGGGGTTATTTTGATTATGTGTTTAAAATGTTCTAAATCCCCACCGTATTTGTGAGATATTTTGTTATCTCTTGAATGTGGTGAAAAATTAAGAAAGAAAGCAATCTCTCTGTGTGGGCGTTCTTGAGATCGAAGCAAAATAGAACCTAAGGGAAAGAAAGTAGAAGTCGAATTCTGTGATTCTTGAATGAATAAATTGTTGCCGTTTTAAAGTCTTCACCTCTGTTAATCAAGGTGAGTTTTATCTTAAAAACTTTAGCATCATTTTGTATTTTGATATGTTGATATGAAATGGTTGGAATAAGGGTCACATAATCAGGAAGATGTATTTTGGAATTGGATGATATAATCAGGAGTGACGTATCATAGAATAAGAATGGCATAATTAGGAGATGTGTATTATGGATAAGGGTGGCATAATCAACTGTGTATGAAAACTGGGATTTTGATCAAAATGAAGAACTGTTATCACATCTTTAGGATGTGATAACTTTGGTTTATAGCATCTTCACGATGCGATGACTTTGGTTTATCGCATCCTATTGATGCGAGGAGATGATTTTATCACATCCTATTGATGCGAGGA